ATTTTTTCACAGAAAAATAACCATAAATAATTTTATGCCACTCTCAATGCTGTCTACGGTCCAAGAACTAAAAGCTCCCATCCTGTAAGATGGCGAGCTCCTGACTTCACCAGATAGCATCAAAGACAGATGGGTAGAGCATTTCAGTGATCTTCTGAATCAACCAACTGATGTTGATTTAAGCATCTTGGATGACATAGAGGAACATCCAATTATTGCGTCTTCGATGATCCAATCTCAGAAGAAGAGCTAGATAAATCTCTCAAGAACACCACATTAGGAAAAAGTCCGGGCCCTGATGGAACACTCTCTGAAGTTCTTGTGCATGGCGGCGCTCGTTTAAGAGCTTTCCTACTTGTACTCTTTCACATCTTCTGGACAACAGAGGAGATTCCTTCTGACTTGATTGATTCTAGCATCACCATCCTGTTCAAGAAAGGTGAGAGAAGTCAGTGCGGCAATTATAGATGTATATCACTTCTAAGCGTAGTTGGTAAAGTTCTAGCAGACGTCATTTTGCAGAGACTACAGCACCTTGCAGAGAAGATATACCCACAATCTCAGCCAGGGTACCGCAGGGGCAGAAGTACTGTGGATGGAATCTTCACCCTTCGACGAGTAATGGAGAAAACTAGAGAACAGCGCAAAAAGTTGTATATAGCTTTTGTGGACTTCACTAAAGCGTTTGATCGTGAGCTACTCTTTATCATCTTGAGTAAGCTGGGCTGCCCTGCAAAGTTCATAAGACTTAACAAGAAGATATATACGAACGTGCATGCAAGACTCATTGTAGATGGTGAACTCACACACGCCTTTGAGTACAACAGTGGTGTCAAGCAGGGTTATAAGCTAGCACCAACACTTTATGGCATCTACGCAGCTGTTTTACTTTGTCTTGTCTATAAGAAAATTAAGCACACCTGCAATGTAAAGGTCAGATTTTGCTATGATGGTGATCTATTTGATCGTTGAAGACTGAAGTCAAAGACCAAAGTTTAAGTACCGAGTACATTAGGGAGGCTCAATATGCAGACGATATAGCCATATTCAGTGGCACTTCAGCGGGACTACAGTTGTTACTCACAGCTTACAACGATCTTACTAAGAAGATGGGACTACGTATTAACACTGCAAAGACAGAGACCATGTGCATTGGTACTGAAGCTGAGTTCTTCATAGCTGACACGAAGTTGGCGAACGTCACCCGCTTCAAATACCTTGGCAGCTATGTAACAAATGACTGCTCTATNCGTATATAAGGATCCTGGCAAAAGTGCTATGAGGTGTGGTAATGTTTCTTGATCAGTGGAGGCATGGTGTAGACAACGACGAGGAGTGTAGAGGTGCTTTTTTGGGGGGTGGCATAGCGCTTGTGAATGCTATCAACCTAAAGGGAGAATCGAAAACAGTATGAAAGAAAAAGTGCGAAGACTAAATGAATTTGAACAAAGCTGATCTATGAACTTTATAGCGATAGTATTATGTGTACTATAAATTTTATTCTGTGGTAATGCCGCGCGTTTCGGGCTGCTCACTAGGCGTATATATATATATTGTCTAATGATATTAGTATATATTATATATATATTATATTATATATGGTATTCTCCGCCCCAGTCTCTCCCATCTCGGCCATTCTCGGACGCTCAAGCCGCCGTCCTCGATGTCCCCACCCTGCCTCTAACCCAGCCCCATCTTCTAACCCGGCGTCCGTCGGCCTGCACGCCTCCTCTCCCAGCGCTTGGCTTCTAAGCCAGTCTTCCCGCCACCTTTTTTAACGCGCGTCCTCTCTCACGCCTTCCTCTACCCCACGCCTCTGCTAACCCGTCTGCCTCACCCTTCTCTACCGCCCACCTTTTTCTGTCGCCAGTCTTTCCACCACCTATTTTACCCCGTCCTCCTCACGCCTCCTCTACCCCGCACCTCTTCTAACCGCGTCGCTCCCTCACCCTCGCTCTACCCCACCTTGCCTTCTAACGCCAGTCTTGTTCCCAGCGCACCTATTCTAAGGGCCCGTCCTCCTCACTCCTCGCACCCCACCTCTTGTGACCGTCCTCCTCTTACCCTCTTCTACCCAAACGGCCCCTTCTTACCCCCTCTTCTATCTACCCTCTTCTAAACCTGCCTCCGCTAACCTCACCGCTGCCTGCAACGCCCCGCCCTCCTCGGCCTCTACATCTCTGCGGGGTTTTCTCTGCAGGGGCGACGGACGGTATAGGCAAGCAGTACGCTCTACAGTTGGCTGAGCAAGGCCTTAACATCGTGCTCATCGGTCGCTCGCCGGAGAAGCTGAAGGCGACCGAGAGCGAGGTGCGCATGCGCAGCAACGTGCAGGTGAAGACGGTCGTCGTCGACTACAGCGGCGGACGGGAGATCTACGATGACGTCGAGCGAGAGTTGGCGGGACTAGAGATCGGCGTCCTGGTGAACAACGTCGGCATGGGCTACGCGTGGATATTCGACGAATTCCTGGACGTGGAGAGAGACGTGCATCTGCGCATGCTCAACGTTAACATGATGTCCTGCGTTGCTATGACGTTCATCGTTCTGCCGCAGGTGAGCAAGGGTGGAGGGTGGGGAGGAGGAGGGATGAGAGGGAGAGGGGAATGGAGGAGAGTGGAAGACAGGGGTAGAGATGGAGGAATGGGAAAGTGAGGGAAAGGAGAATGGATGAGAGGGGAGATCAGGGGAAGAGGAATGGAGGGGAGAGAGAGAGAGAAAGAGAGAGAGAGAGAGAGAGAGACGTTTATCTACGCTGCTGGCTTTCCATTTCGCTACTGGCGTTGGCGGAGCGCCAACATTTTTCACGCATATAGCTTATACTATTTTATTTATTTATTTAGGTAATTATCCACACATACGTGCTGTTAGAATATATTTTAATTTGATGAAATTAGATAACTACCAAGGATATATACACAAAAAGTATAACTAGCACACTGTTATTATATAATAGTCTATGGTATAAGCACGCACTACAAAAACGTTCGCTCTGTCGTAGGAGTAAAAATAGATACAATCCTACCTAGATCACCTACCTACAGAATCAGATCTACCTATCAGAATCCTACCTAGGTCAATTATTTTAGATACCCTGTATCTTAAAGAAAGTACATGAAAGCATTAGTTGTAAAATGACTTTATTACTTGGGAAGCATATGAAATAAACACCTTTCAGATGCCAAGATGAATAATACACCTATTTCTAATGTGCGGTATTGTTTGTTTGTTTTTTATCTCCTTGTTCTAATTGACATGAATTATGGTGCAGATCTACTTCATATTTATTAGAGAACTGAAAGATTAATTTGGTATGGATAGATTTTGCTGAAATAGTAATTCATGGATATGGAGAGAATATTGGAAACTGTCCTGAAATAATACGTTTTTGAAACACTCTGTACATGTACATTGGTCTACATTACAGATTGGTTTATCAGTTGGATGAAATAATTTTGTATAAAAAGTATGCATATACACCACGCACGTACACGCAGGTACACGCACGTACACGCAGACATACGCACGTACACGTGGGTACACGCTGATACACGCACGTACACGCGGGTACACGCACGTACACGCAGGTGCACGCACGTACGCGCACGTACACGCACGTACACGCACGTACACGCACGTGCACGCACGTACACGCATGTACACGTACGTACACGCGGGTACACGCAGATACACGCACGTACACGCGGGTACACGCACGTACACGCGGGTACACGGAGATACACGCACGCACACGCATGTACACCCGGGTACACGCAGATACACGCACGTACACGCGGGTACACGCACGTACACGCGGGTACACGGAGATACACGCACGTACATGCCGGTACACGCACGCACACGCA